GTTATTTACTTTTATCTTGTTGTGGTGCTCGAGTATTTTATAAATTCTAGATATAATTCCTTTGTCAGACATGTCATTGCCAAATATTTTTTCCCAATCTGTGGCTTCCTTTTTACCCTATTGGAGAAGTTTTTGGATGTACATAGAGATTTGATTCTTAGAAGGTCCCATTCATCTCTTTTATCCTCTTCTGGTTGTAGATTTTCCAGGATGCTTGGAAGACCATTGATGTTGTGGATTAGGACTTCTAGAGTTCTTCCAAGCTTTCCTTTAATGGAAGTTTATAGTCCTTGGTTTTAGTCCTAGGCCCATGATCCACCTAGAGTTGGTTTTTGTATATGGAGTGAGATGTGGATCTTGCTTGAGTTTTCTGCATAGAGTTTTACAATTTTGCCAACACCATTTGTTTAAAAGGCTGTCGTTTCCCCACTTTACTGATTTCATCTCCTTGACCATGGGTAGACGGGCTGATTTCTGGATTCTCAATTCTATTCCACTGATCTATGTCTGTCATTATACCAGTACCACACTGTCTTGACCACCACGACAGTGAAGTAGGATTTGAAATCAGGGAGTGAGATGTCTCCTACCTTTTTTCTATTTTTAAGGAGTGCTTTGCTTATTCTGAGCCTCTTTACATTCCAAATGAAATTGGAGATTGCCTTTTTAATCTCATTGAAGAATGGAATTGGTCTTTGTATTGGGATTGCATCAAAGGTGTCAATTGCCTTTGGTAGTATTGTCATTTTCACAATTTTGAGTCTTCCTATCCATGAGCAAGGGATGATAATTATTAGAGAGCTCTGGTGGCCCAGTGTTAAGGAGTTGCAATCCCAAAGACCGGTAGTTTAAATCTACCAGTTGCTCGACAGGAGGAAGATAGCAAATACCCTTCCGCACAATTTACAGCCTCGGAAAACCCACATGGAAGATCAGTTGAGTTGGTTCTGACTCACAGGTTCCAATAACATTTATTATAATACTGTAAAAACAATAATGATTATCATTGTTGTTAGGCTGCCATCAAGCAGAGTATGACTCATAGCTATCCTATGAACAGATCTGAACCCTGTTTAGTCCTGTGCCATCCTCATCATCTCTGACACACTGGAGCCCTTGTTGTAGTACTGTGGCAATCATCTCGTGAGGATCTTCCTCTCTCTCATTGATCTTTCCAAGCATGGCATCTCTTTCCAAGGAATAGTCTCTCCTAACAACAGGCCCAAAATATGTGAGACAGAGCTTCACCATCTTTGCCTCGAATAAGCACTGACTTTTTCCAAGGCATTTATATTTGCTCACTTGGCAGTCTGTGGGATATTGAGTACTTTTCCCCAACACCACAGTTCAAAAGCATCAATTCCTCTTTTATCATCTTTAATCACAGTCCAGCTCTCAAATACATATTAAGTGATTGAGAAGACCATAGCCTCAATCAGGACCATCTCAAGCCAATACCACTGTTCTTTAAGATTTTGGAAAACAACCTGACAGAAGCCTTGCCCAATGTCGTGACTGCTGGTACCAAGAGTGCTGACTGTGGATCGAAGCAAAATTAAATCACTGACAATTTCAATCCTTTCTCCATCTATCAAGATGTTGCCTTTCGGCCCATGGGTGAGGACCTTTTTCCTTGATGTTGAAATGTAATCCATACCGAAGGCTGTAATCCTTAATCTTCTGGAGCAAGCATTTCAAGTCCTTCTCACATCACAATACAATTCACTCTAATCAGTAGTAAAATTTTACAAACATCTGGATTTTTCTAAAGGCTAGGGGGGGATAAATCCCAAAAGAAACATAACACTAAGGCTTTACTTATGTAAAAAAATATAGTTGCAGTTATTAAAGCAAAACAAAATCTACTGTAGTGAAATGATAAAACAAAATTAAAACCTCACCACAACTGAATGGTGCTGTATGTAGCAAAATTTTTTTCCTATGGTAACATAAAGATAGTTATGACTTACCGATACTCAGTCTGTGAAACACAATCATAAAGCTCTTTGGCAGTAAATTTGACATGTTTATTTACCTGAAAAGAACCAGAATACAGTTATTTAAAACTGTCAATTAAAACATATGAGCGGTGAGAGAACAATTTCTGCGGGCTGCCATCCAGCAGATTCTGACACAGAGTGCCCTCATATGGCAGAGTGGAACTGCTGGATAAGTTCCAATCACCAGCCTTTCAGTGAGCAGCCAAGTGCTTGCTTAACCACTCTACCATTATGTTAATCATCTTGTTGTTGTTTCAGGCTATCAAGTCAGAGCCGACTCACAGCAAACCCTACAGTAGGTTTTCAGAGGCTGTAAATTACATGAGAGGAGACTGCCGTTCTTTCTCCTTCAGAGCAGCTGGTGGATTCAAATCACTTTACTTTCAGTTGCTAGCACAACTCCTTACACCTAGGCCACCAGAGTATCTTCTAAATAGCCTTAAGTATTTTCATTACTGTCTCATATGCAAGGGCCTAGAATATAGTCAAACTTCAGCCATCATATGTCAACATACTGCACATATTAAATCAGAGAAGAGAATAAACTATCCTCTATAAATTGTTTAAAACAGATAAAATATATGAATATAAAAATGTTCCTCAGGAACATTTATCTTAAAATAAAATGGTGAACTTAAATTTATTTCATAAAATTTCATCACTAAATCTTTTATATCATTCTGAAATAATAACTCCTGAATATGCACAAAGATAGGAAGGAAAAATATAAAATTGATATAGATTCATCTTTAGTTTTAAAAAGGGAGCTCTGGTGGCAAACTTTGTAGGGAGTCGTGCTACTAACAAAGGTGGTGCCTCTCTGGTAGTTCAAATGCACCAGCAGCTCTAAGGGAGAAAAATGGACAATCTCCTCCTTGGCGAGTGACAGTCTCCCAAAAGCTCTCTGGAGGATCAATTATGAATCAACTTGAAGGTAATCATTTTGAGGAGGGCTTTTTATTTGTTTACAAAATAATCATCCACCAAGTTTTGAAGCTGGAACAAAATTCCCCCTGCTGGTTCAACTTTTAGTCAAACAACAGAAAAACATAATGGTGACCAGTAACAGCCGAGTAGCCTCACTCCTGAGAATAACCAACCATATCAGATCAAAGGAGCAGCAATTTGCCCAAAGACAAAGGCCAGAGGGCACTGAAGGATAGGACAGAGAATTAATGGAAATGAGAATTAGAGCACAAAGTGCAACTACAGTGTGGGTACTGTAATTAATAGAAAACAAAATGTGTATCAATAGTTGGAAGAAAACCAATTTTCTCTGTAAACTTTCACTCAAATTGCAATTAAATGTAAAAAAGAAAAAATCAATACACTTAAATATTTATCCCAGAAAAAGATGGAATAAAAGTGGTATGTTTCCAGGATATAGTTGATAACTTACACTTTGTAGCTACTTTACTGCTAATAAAAGGAAAAATGAAGTATGAACTTATGACATACTTGATAGGCTCTACTCAGAATTATCTTATTTTGTTTTATTCATTAATTTTAACAATTTCGGTATTTCTAATTAATCAAATTGAACCTGTTGCCATTGAGTAGATTCCATCCCACGACAAAGTAAAACAGGGTTTTACAGATTAAAAATTTTTTAAATTTTTTTTATTATTTTTGTTTGTGTACTGTCAAACTGGATCTGGCTGGCAGAGGGGGTGATTTTCCCTCCTTCTCCAGCTGAGCATCTGGTGGATTTGAAGCGCTCAACTCTGAGACTGCAGAGCAGCTTCTTGCCAGTAGGCCACCAGAGCTTACCATAGATTATAAATTTTATAAAAGCAAACTGCTATATCTTTCTCTTCTCAGTGGCTGGTGGGTTTGAACTACTGACCTTTGAATTAACGGTAAAGTATCTTATTTTACCACCAGGACTCCTAATTAACCATATTAAATACACTGTCAAATTTCATCTCTAGGCTTAGGTGTACAATTTTAGTTACCAGGGGACAAATAGTTAGGAAATGCTTTATTAGTAAACATTTAGAAATGGCATTATGAAACATGTGTACCAGAAATATCTCAAATTATTTTTCATTCTTAAAAATGTAAAGAGGTAAAGCTTCATTATAAAAATAATCAAGTTTCTGAAAAGATTTAAAAGATCCTAACACTGTTCATCATTCAAGATTTTTGCCTACAGCATCTCTAAGTATTACAACTGAAGGCTTTTATCCAGGTTTTTGAGCTTTTTAACCCCTTTTAAGGGTTTTTTTTAACCCTTTTTAAGGCTCCAATCCCAGGCCTACACATTCCGTTAGAATAGTTTGCTTTGTCTTCCTGAGCTGCCTTTTGAAAGCTTCTGTTCTGCTCTTTTTTTTTTTTTTTTTTGTTCTACTCTTTTATTTCAGCATTTCTTTCCTTTGTTTTGGCTTCTCGATGCTCTGGTGTCATTTTCAGGATCTCTTATCACATCTACTTTAGTTTTTTTCCTTTCTTCTCTGTCTTTGTAGTACTCTTTTGTTCTCTTCATGGATGGTATCTTTGATGTCATTCCGTAACTCATCTGGTTTCTGATCTGGTGTGCAATGCTTCTAAACCTATTCTTAAAACTCAGGTATGACAGACTCAAGATCCCATTTTGGTTCTCATGAATTTGATTTCATTTCCTTCAGCTTCAATTCGAACTTCCTGTTGTTGTTGTTGTTAGGTGCCATCGAGTCAAGGACAACTCATGGCAACCCTATGAACATCTCTCTGAACCCTGTCCTATCCTGTGGCATCTTTACACTTCCTGACACACTAAATCCCACTGTGGCAATCACTGTGTCAAACCACCTGATCAAAGATCTTTCTCTCCTTCACTGATCCTCCACTTTTCCAAGCATCATGTCCTTCCCCCAAGGAACAGTCCTTCTGAGCAACATGCCCAAAGTATGTGAGGTGAGGCCTCATCATTCTTGTCTCCAAAGAGCACTCTGGCTGCGCCCTCTCTACAACATATTTGTTCTTTTGGCCATCCATGGGATGTTCAGTACTCTCCTCCACCACAAAAGCACAAAGGCCTCAATGATTCTTGTCATCCTATTCACGGTCCAGCTCTCAGATGCATAACAAGTGATCAGAAAGACCATGGCCTGAATCAAATGTACATTAGTCCTCAAATGGACATCATTACTCCTTGGTAATTTGGAGAGGTCACTAACAGATTTTCCCAGTGCAATGCATTTCCTTATTTCCTGACTGCTGGTACCAAGGGAGTTAATTGTGGATCCAAGTAAGAGGAAGCTGTTGACCATTTCAATCTTTCCTCCATCCATCATGACGGTGCCTATCAGTCAAGTGGCAAGAATCTTTGCTTTCTTGACACTGAGATGTAATCCACACCAAAAGCTGCATACCCTGATATTCTACAGCAAGTGTTTCAAGTCTTCCTCATTTTCAGCAAGCAAAGTTGTGTCATCTGCATAATGCAGGTTATTTCTGAGTCTCCCTCTGATCCTGATGCCACAATCCTCTTTGTAAAGTCTAGCTTCACAAAAAATTAGCTCACCATACAGATTAAATACGTATGGAGAGCAAATACAAACCTGACACACTCGTTTCTTAACTTTCAACCATGCAGTGTTCTCCTGCTCTGAACACACAACAGCCTCTTAGTCTAGGTTGCACGTGAACATAATTAGGTGCTCTGGGACTCCCATTCTTCTCCATGTCAGCCAAAAATTGTTATGATCCACACAGTCAAATGCCTTTGCTATTTGAACTTACACATAAGTAACTGATGGTCTGTTCCGTAGTCAGTATCTGGCCTGCTTTTGACTGCTGATATTGAGTGTATTTGCACTTTTGTGACCGCAAAAGCATTTGACTTTGTGGATCATAATAAAATATGGCTAACACAGAAAAATGGAATCCCAGAAAATTATTTGTGCTTGTGCAAAACCTATATATAGATCAAGAGGCTGCTATGTGAACAGAGCATGGAACACTACATGGATAAAAATTAGGAAAGGTGTGCAGTCCTTCTCCATACCTATTGAATCTGTATACTGCACAAAACATTTGAAAATCCAGACTCTATGAAAGAAAATGTGGCATCAGGATTGAAGATTCATGAGTAACCTTCATTATGGAAACCACACAATGAATAAGTATCACAGAAGAATGGGTGACTTTGAACTGTAGTGCTGGAGAAGACTACTGAATATTCCATGGACTGCCAAAACAACAAACAGATATGCCTTGGAGAAGTGGAGCCAGAGTGCTTCTTGGAGGCAAGGATGGTGAAGCTTCATCTTTCACCTACTTTGGACATGTTGCTAGGAGAGGCTATTTCTTGGAGAAGGACATCATACTTGGAAAGGTGGAGGGACAGCAAGAGATGAGCCAGGTGAATGACACAATTACTGCAGGAATGGACTTGAGTGTATCACAGATTGTGAGGATGACACAGGATAGGATAGGGTTCAGATCTGTCGGTCACAGGGTCATTATGAGTCATACTCCATTTGCTGACACCTAACAACAACTCAACATTGTTCATGATATGAGACAAATATTTAAAATGTACTCACTGCCTTAGAGGAGGAAATTCTGTTAAAAGAAATTACTCTTATAAATCTGAGAATCAGTTTTTTGGCTGAGCACCACCATGGTGGCTGGCAAGAACAAGCATTTATAAAAGGTGGCAATAAAGGAGCCAAGAAGAAAGTGGCTGATCAATTTTTTAAGAAAGATTGGAATGATGTAAAGGCACCAGTTATGTTTAATAGAAGAAATATTGGGAAGACACTAGTCACAAGAACTCAGGGAACCAAAATTGCATCTGATGGACTCAACAATCATGTTTTAAAAAGACGTGAGCCTTGCTGATTTGCAAAATTATGAGACTGCATTTAGAAAAGTCAAGCTAATTACCAAGGATGTTCAGGCAAAAAATGCCTCACCATCTTCCATGGCATGGATCACAATTACTCGCGACAAAATGTGCTCCATGGTTAAAAAAACCAAAACGGCAGACCATAATTTGAAGCTCATGTTGATATCAAGACTACTGGTGGTTATCTGCTTCGTCTGTTGT